CCCGAGTAAATTAAAATGTATTTCATTTACATAAATATATTGCAGGAAAATGTTGAAGACACTACTATTCATTGGACATATCATTTATTTCACTTATGGTAAGCTAAATAATAATATCTTTAATGTACAGAATGTTTCATTGTGAGCACTGATTTTAAATTTGTCCAAACCCGAAACATGTTGACATTCTAGAGATTGTCAAGAGGTTTTATAAACTTTGTAAAATATTGTTTTGTGCATTAGGGACGCTGTTATCATCGATTTGCACCATTCCAATTATCAATCAGATATCTGTGGTTCTTGCAATGCCACTAAAACTAAGTGTTTTATAACGTCTAACGATATTATCATAATTGCGATGGTTACGTTACCAACCATTAAGTTTGAGTGGAATTGCATAAAACCATAACGTTTGAGTGAAAATTGGAGTAGCGGAAATGCTATCAATGTCCCCGATACAAATAATAGTTTAAAGAACACCCTTACTATCTCTTTATTATACCTCAGATTCTTACTTCTTACTTACTTACGATTTTTTCGATCGATTTAATGTATCTGTTTTACATTAAATTCAACGTGTGGTTTGCTTACAATTTAATCAAATGGTCCGACAGAAGAAACAACAATCTATAATTTTTTTAGACCTCTTATCAATACTTTCTCCTGCAGATATCAGAATTCGAGAATCATTATCTTCGTCCTCCCTTTAAATTATGATGAACCAAACGTTTTCTTGTTTTACAATTTATACTGGAGTTAATTTGAGCTCTTAAAGCTAGCTGGAAATCTCAACTTTATCATCTTATGTTTATATAATACAATTAATTCTTTTAAGGAATACCACAATATGTATGTCCAGAAGGTTGGGTCAAACATAAAGATAATTGTATGTTTTCTTCAACTCAAGCAAAATCATGGAGTAAAGCTCGTAAACTTTGTCTTAAAAATGAACCACAGGGAAAGTTAATAGAAATTCACTCAGCTGAAGAAAATACGGTATTAACAGGTAGGTCTGTAGTTATCTATACACGATTGAAGATAGTAGTGACAGGTAGGCCTAGCTATCTGTAAACAATTGAAGGTATATCTATATATATAACTATGGATAATACGGCAGTGACACGTAGGCCCAGTTATCTATAAACCAATGACAGAAACAAGTTGGACTAGTTATCTATATATAACTAACAGAAACAAGTAGGACTAGTTACCTGTATACCACTTAAGATAATACGACAGTAACAAGTAGGTATAGTTATCTATATATAACTGAAGATAATATAGCGGTGACAGGTAGGACTAGTTATCTATATACCACTGACAGAAACAAGTAGGACTAGTTATCTGTATACCACTTAAGATAATACGACAGTAACAAGTAGGACTAGTTATCTATATATAACTGAAGATAATATAGCGGTGACAGGTAGGACTAGTTATCTATATAACACTAACTGAAACAAGTAGGACTAGTTATCTGTATACCACTTAAGATAATACGACAGTCACAAGTAGGTATAGTTATCTATATACGACTGACAGTAACAAGTAGGACTAGTTATCTATATACCACTGACAGAAACAAGTAGGACTAGTTATCTATATATAACTGAAGATAATATAGCGGTGACACGTAGGCCCATCTATAAACCACTGACAGTAACAAGTAGGGCTTGTTATCTATATACCACTGACAGAGACAAGTAGGACTAGTTATCTATATATAACTGAAGATAATATAGCGGTGACAGGTAGGACTAGTTATTTATATAACACTGACTGAAACAAGTAGGACTAGTTATCACTTATCTGTATACCACTTAAGATAATACAACAGTAATAAGTAGGTATAGTTATCTATATACCACTGACAGTAACAAGTATGCCGAGTTATATATATATATAACTGAAGATACTATGGCAGTAACATGTAGGCCTAGTTATCTGTATACCACTGACAGAAACAAGTAGGACTAGTTATCTGTATATCACTTAAGATAATACGACAGTAACAAGTAGGTATAGTTATCTATATACCACTGACAGTAACAAGTATGCCGAGTTATATATATATATAACTGAAGTTATTTATACCACTAAGATAAAACGACAGAAACAAGTAGGCCTAGTTATCTCAAATATCTGTATACCACATGAGATAATACGCCAGTAACAAGTAGGCAAAGTTATCTATATACCACTTAAGATAATACGACCGTAACAAGTATGCCTAGTTATCTATATTCCAGTGACAGTAACAAGTATACCTAGTTATCTATATATCACTTAAGATATTACTAGTAGGTCTAGTTATATATATACCATTTAAGATAATGCGACAGTAAGCTTAGTTATTTATATATCACTGAAGATGATAGTCAGTGACAATTATTGGTATACCACTGAAGATGTCATGGTAGCCTTAAAGAATGTATAATTATATGTGTTATTTTTTCAGAATTGGTCAATGGAACTAACTTTGAGTATTGGATTGGTCTGAAGGATCTACACCGGCGTTATACAAGCAACCGTGCAATTGTCTGGAACAGTACAAATTCGGAAATTCGTGTATGTTCGAAGTATTTCTTGGCTTGGACGCCGTCTTTGACATCAAATACTAAGTAAATGATTATCGGAAATAAATAGGCTCCGAATCCTCAATACTATAGAGGCCTACTACACGTGATACGGAAATCGATCCACACCAGCGCCTTAATGAATTTTCAGCTTTTGCCGTCAATACGTAAAATTGTGACACTTTTATTTATTAATTTATATATTGATGCACTACATTAATGTATTAATTCATTTATTTATTTATAGTACTTATATAACAATTTTAAAACGAATACACACCATGTTCGTGAAGAAAATTGTGGTTTTTTAGATGATCGCGGCTTATGGTATTTAACAAAAAGTTGTGACTTAAAAAAACGATTTTTATGCCAGAAGAAAACAGGTAATAGTAAACTAAAAAAGTTTATGGGTCAAAATTCGTTACATTGACTGCATTTTATGGTCGTCACTTAAAATCTTTTGAAATTTTGTGTGTACCTGTATATTCACAGAATGTTGGATGAGTTTGAATATGAACACAATCCGACAATTATTTCTTTATTATTAAGGTCAGACCAGACCTAAATCACTAATTATTTGACTGTATTGACTTGTCTACATGTATATTTGATATTTTATATACATTTATATAATTTACAGATTGTTTGAATGGATATTATGGTCAACTATGTTCCGAAAGATGTCATTGTTATAAAGCCGATTGTGACAGGAACACAGGAAAGTGTCCATATGGATGTTCTCGTGGTTGGATGGGTGAAAATTGCAACGAAAGTAAGTATCTGTAGCAATCAAGCCTCTTGATTCAGTTTCACTACATTTTGATTGGAGGGTTGTGCTCTCGATTAGTAAGATTCATATAACAAAGCGTCGCTCAATGGTGCTTTAGTAAAGGTCGGAATATTGAAAAACGAGAAGGGGCGGCTGGCATTTGGGGGCTGTTTTGAATTTTTAGTCTTACAGCTGGTTAAAAAATTAGATGAGGAGACTGACTCAAGTTATTATCGTGGTGATTAACTTTCGGCCTAAATATTAAGACAATTGTTTGTTTTATCAACTTATTATTGCTTGAATACCTAGACGAAGCAATGCCTTTGAACACATATTGATTTTATATATTATCTTTACAGAAAAAGGCGCAGCTGAAAGTAAGTGACTTCATTTGAACTATGTTGAGACTTTACCATTAAGACCATTAGTATGCGAATCGGAATTGAAAGCTACCGATTGTTTTGAACTTCATTTGAATATCAGCTTTAGAACAGTACTGATAATCTTTCAATGGCATTGAATTTGCTTCCAAAAAATTCAAAACATAACAAATTTTGTCTATCTACGCAAAGACAATCAGTGATATTTTAAGCTGATATTCCAATTCTCTTAAAAAATATAATCGATGAAATTCACTATACTTACATACTGAGAAGACTGTAGCCATTGATCCTCATTGATCGGTTTTGGTAATGTAGAATTTCGCCACATCTGCGTATACGTTTTTAATGTAAGTGTAATCAACCGATATTGAATGGTGTGGTTGGTTTACAAGGGAAATAATCGACGACTATTATCAGAGTCGTCAGATTTAATTCTTTAAATTTATTTCTGTATATAAAGTTGCAGTGTACTGCGTGGAAGAAAAGAACAGTGATAAACATGCCTTGGTTAGGGTTGATTTGAAAGGCGTAAGCTATGATGAGATTTACCTGTTGGACGAAACGGGTGCAATCGCTTGTAAAAAATCCCTTTTTAATCCTGATACTGATGGTATATATAACATTAATATCACCATTTATTCCAATGGCACGACCAATCCCGACTGCTCTCCCAAGCATGTAAGTACATAATTTGTGATAAACGTAAAAGTAAAATCTTATACCTGTGATTGCTTTATCGCATATCAATTTTTTTTCAATAAATGGAAACCAAAATAATAAACATTATTTAATTGTTAGCGAACTTATAGTCCATGTTAATTTCAAGGATTGTTAGGGAAATTGAGCTCTATCAGCTGGTTTAGTAAATATCAAGACGACTATAGCGATGATGTCTTAAACGTTTTTAGACCTCCGAGGAGTTGTTTGAATGGACATTAAGAACGGAGGAATTTTCTGGGTTCTTGAGCGATTATGACAGAAAGTTTCAGGTGAAGTGCAACTTTAACCGAGCTGAAAAACTGTTTCGTCAAAAAAATCAACCTGTATCAAGGTATGTAGGAGTTCGTCAATCTTTATAAACTCGAAAATATTTTTATGCCTTGGGGTTAACCTAAGAGTTGAGTTTATGGCTAACCCAAGGGTTAACCTGAGAGTAAATATGTTTTTGAAAAATCAATTAGGGTTAGCGCAGGAAAGGGTTAAAGCTTGTTCAAAGATATGGTTTCCGCAATGAAATGAAAGAACACTGCGTTGCGCATCTTCTCAACACAAAATGGTACAGAAAAAAGAATAACACAGGGGTTTAAATGGGCCAGATACAAGTTATACCCCAGTGGCTTCAAATTGGTTAAAATGGGACAAACTCAATTAGCTATAGGGTTAGGTCATTCTAGATTTCACAGACATCTTTTGTATACTTGAAATGATAGAAAAGACGGTAGCCATTGATCCTCATTGATCGGTTTTGGTAATTTAGAATTTCGCCACTTCTGCGTATACGTTTTTAATGTAAGTGTAATCAACCGATATTGAATGGTGTGGTTGGTTTGCAAGGGAAATAATCGACGACTATTATCAGAGTCGTCAGATTTAATTCTTTAAATTTATTTCTGTATATAAAGTTGCAGTGTACTGCGTGGAAGAAAAGAACAGCCTTGGTTAGGGTTGATTTGAAAGGCGTAAGCTATGATGAGATTTACCTGTTGGACGAAACGGTTGCAATCGCTTGTAAAAAATCACTGGGACAAACTCAATTAGCTATAGGGTTAGGTCATTCTAGATTTCACAGACATCTTTTGTATACTTGAAATGATAGAAAAGACGGTATTTGACTCGGATATTAGGGGTTATTAGCACTTGGGTTGGTGCTTTCGAGGATTAGTCCGGTCAAAACCTTCAACAATTTCACCCAAAGTTATCGTTCAACTGTACAATTTCATATAATTAAAGAAGAATCTAATGTATTATCATGTTAAAAGATTGGAATAACTGGTTAGCGGGAAAATTATACAACTCCATGGTTTTAATATTAGATTTATAACAAATAGTTTAATTTTATCTATAATATTCTTAACAGGAAATCAACTATAAACCTGGTTGAAAAGGAGGTAAAACAAACAACAGAAAATGTAAAACTCATCGTTCAAGATCCTTCAACAAAAGAACCGATCTCTAGAATTAATATTGGAAGTAAGATACAGATAGCAATGGTGCTCGATACCCACAATACTTCAGTTTCTGCTAAAGGTAGGGGAATGACCATATTTTACGTACGTATACAAGACATTTTCGAAACTTATTGATTGAGGTCTACAGTTGTTACTTCAAGGCTATTTCGTACCGCTAGATTGGACAAATTGTCAACAATGATGTCGACAATAATCGTCAAGGAAGAGAATGGGGCGATATAACTGAGGTTGCTCGAATTTCTAACCTAGTTATAAGATTTTTGCCCGAATCATAATATTGAATTCATTTGATTTCAGGTATATTTCCATATAACTGCTCCTGTTCTACATCCGATGGTAAAATAACGCGATATTTGACAGATTCAACTGGGTGAGCACCGGAACTTCCCTATTCTGTTGTACATGACTTGACATTCAGTTTCGCTATAGTATATCACTGTTGGCTGTCATTATTCGAAAACAGAAAAGGCTTACAGCACCGAAATCCCGAAAAGCTTTAATATGACGAAGTAAATTATTCCCTTTGTTTCAGGTGCCCTCTGAAGAACTCGCCAATTGTTTCTTTAGAAGAACAAGGTTCTCCGGCTCATCTGATCTCCAATGCGTTTGATGCATTCACTATTGAGGGAAGATCTGATGTTGTATTCCATTGTCAGTTCCGGTTTTGTTTTGAAACGTTTAGTCTAAGTGAATGTTCCCGTGTAAGTATAAATTTCCTTTATAATGTCGATATAGTTGGTGGTCCCTTTTCGAATCCATCGCAAGACATCATACCCATGAGAGACTCTGAATGCTGCCTATGTCACGGGGATCTTTTTAAAATATTATACTGCTCCTACAGGAAAGTTTGAGCTATTCTCTCTCAGGTCAGAACGAATTTGAGATCCTAATGAGCGTATCTTGAGCGCATGATGGAAGTGTGATTAAAATGCATATCGATGTGAATTTTCTGTATAGCAAAGAAGTGTTATAAACAAAACTTAACATATATCAGCTAACTGTCTCTATAAAGACGTCATTGATTTATTCGAGAAGAATGTATATAAGTTAATCGGTCTATGTACAGATTAAAGTGTATTCTCTTTCAGTTTTGTGGTGAATCAGTTGAACTGGTGTAACAATATTGTTGTTCAGAATAACATGTTAAGCCTGTACATCAAACACTGGGATATAATATAATTTGTAAATAAAATGCTGTCTTAAATATAAAATACTCTCATCACAATATCATTTTGTTATTAATAAGACAATGGGATGTTTCGGCGCCCAACCCTTCTCTGTACCAGACTTGTAGCCAGACTCGATTGTTCAGAGGTAATATATATTGAGGGGCAATGGTTTAAGGTGTGTAGTTGCATTTATAATGAAAAACTAATATTATAGTACTTAACATAACATTGACCTTTTAATTTTTTTGGAAAACGAATATAACACTATTTTGATATCTTTCATACTGTTAAAAATGTGGCACCTTCGTTGAATGTATCTTCTTCGCCTATTGTAGAACTGTACTTCATATTGGCCGAAGCCAGTCCAGGACTCATTATCAAAGTTAAAATCGGATAGCTCTAAAGGTGTCATTTTTCATTTTAAATGATTGCAGTTATAAAAGGGTTTTACATAACACTGCAAGTTTTGCTCGCCATTTTTCCAGGGTCCATGTGTCCATATATTATTCGAGCCCCACTAATAGGCACGTTGGTTTTGGTAATTGCAAACTGGGTGTAAGCATCCATAGGTTCTTTCATTGGATGTTTTTCGCCAACTAAGAAATATGTTGACATTTTCCCCTTTCCTTTGATATGCATTTCCTCTCTTCTTTTGATTAGAAACTCATGTCTTTTAAGATCACTGTAAAATATAATTATGAAATAATATAGTTAATTATCGCTTTGGCCAATATTTTTTTTAGATGGTAACCAGCTAATTTCCATATTGTGTCCAGTAGTGTTCCACGAGTGGCGCTCTTTTAACCAGGTTCTAACCAGTTTTTTCCGTTCTTGTCCCGTTCTATTGACGTTATTTTTAACCAATCAAAGTCTCATGTGGGATCCGTTTCTCGATAACAAGGACGAATTGTGAGATAGTGAAACTCAAAGTATATTAATGTAGCAAAGTATAGAATTCGAAATATGTATGAAGAAACGGATTCTATACATGACACGCTTTCATCAGTTAAGAATAACGTCATTAGAGCGGGGGTAGAAAATTGGTTAAATTACAATGGAGACGAAAGACAGCTGAAAGCATGTTATTTTTTAGGGTGTTTCATATATAAAAAAAAACCTACTGATATGTTGTTGGACTAATGTGTATTCTACCAGGTAAACCATGACTCTCCATTCTTGATGCCGTATTTACTGTATCACCAAATAAACAATACCTCGGCATCTTTACCCCAACTACGCCGGCAACAACTGGACCAGTGTGTACACCTACCCGAATCTACATTAAAATGTTTACTAAAATTGCCCACATACCTTTGGATGCAATCCTCAATATAGAACTGCAATAGCAAAAGCTGATAGAGACTGATTTCAGCTTCAATTGGAATATGTTTGAAGTTTGGTGGATGAAGCAACAACTTACTGTCAAAATATATGTTGGAATAGAGGCCGATATTTCGGTCTAGGAAATGTTCGGTAATTGAAACTATTTTTGAGAAGTTAATTTGATTAGAAAATTATTGTACGGATTTCAAATTCTGATTGAAGAACAAACAAGAAGCTTCAAAACAAGCTTCTGTTAATAAAAAATAACTTTACCTGAATCGGTTTCCCTGTCTTCGGCGATTTTACTTGCGCTGCATCCTGAATCATATCCAATGCGAATCTGGCTACAGGAGGTGCATGATTTTTTGTTGATTCTGGTACACCACATACTACCATATAGGCATCTCCAATAGTCTCCACCTGAAGTAGGATTTGAACAAAATTGTTTCACACAGTCTTTTCTAAGTAGCTATATGAACATACGAATTGTAGCTCGTTAATTGAGTGCAAACTGTTCACGATAGTGATTTTGGTATTCGATGTACCACCAATTCTAGCAATAGACAGTTTCGTCATCGAACAACCTCTACAGCCTAACATTATAAACGAATCAAATAGCAAACTGGCTTGAAGGTTGCCTCATAGTAGAAGATACCAAACTCAATGGTAAAAAATCCGAAACATCTGTCTCTGATAGCTACTTCCCCACAAATGTGGAATATTCATTCTGTAACACAGTTGAATCATTGCTGTGCTTAAGGCAGGTCATGCTTAATTGAATTTAGATTTCACCTTATAAAATATACAATATTTTTTCGTAATGATAGAAATAATAGACTTATACCTTATATACTCCATGTTGATTGGTTAGGTTATCAAATCGTTCGTATAGATTATTTAACATATTAACAATATCTAGAGGGCTACATGCAGCAGATATTGTAGTAAATGTGACAATATCACTGAATAAAATGGTAACTTGATCAAATTTCTCTGTGAAAATAAAGGGACAAAAAGGTGCGCATTATATTCTCAATTATACAGTATTGATAATAACGTTGGTCATTTCGATGCCTATAGTTTATTTGGCACCAAATGCTTAAAGAGGATGAATAAATTCTTTACCTACAGAATAAATAGACCAATATAGCAATTCCAAAAATCATCTTAAGATGCCTACCTGCCTCCACTTGTTGGCCATTTTTCAATTGATTTGCCACTTTTTGAGGCAACATTTGGTACAATAACATATCGGTTTTCTTCTTCTCGCTTTCTAAAGCTTTGGAAGTTTTCTTTAATTCGGTCGTGGTTTCGTCCAGTTTTTTGCTAAAATGGAATATTTGTTGCAGACGTTTCAATTAATTAAAAAAAAAGATATATGTCGTTAATTGTTAATTGCGAACTTCTTAATATGTAGAATCTATGCCATTTTTTATTTTGATCAAAAGAGTGCTGTTATAACATCTACATAAGAGAACTTACGCAATATCGATTTCGGCTATTCGTTGCTGGTTTAATAAAACTAGTTCTCTGGTGACGTCATACAGTGGGATATCTGATAAATATACATTCATTTCCAATAATTCATTGAGACTGGTAATTCGAGGTGAACCAATAAATATCATGTGCTGTGAATCTTCGAGCCAAATCATCTGTCCTATTGAGAAAAAAAATTAGTCATTCAAGTTTTTTTTTTTCACTTTATCGTTTATCACTTAAATTTTCATATCAAACGATTCAAATATGTTGAACCCTACTAATGCGACCACCTTTATAAAATAATCACTTTCAATGTGCTACCATAATAAAGTACTCATACTCATTTTGCATTATTTGCTTTGATGTCGGCAATGTGGTAATGAAAACCAGCAAGATATTGCATGTAATGTGGGACATTGACGTGATATTGACAGACACCACATTACTAAATGCCACTCAAGGAAGATATTGACAGAGCTCTTGGGCGCCAATATTTCCTATTCGCCACAACTGGCCTCTCCAAAAATCATCTCTGTATGTATAAAGCCGATTGTAATCAAATTTTTTAAAGCTTTCATGTGTATTTTGATGCAATTTTGAAGAGGTCATAGGACAAGATACTTTCAGGGGCAGTTAATGATATTATCATGTAGACGCCTGACAAGGTTAGTGTAACCGCACTTCATTTTTATCTCGTAAATCATTGTCAGTGATTTCATAATTTTTCAATTGATTAAAAATCAATAAAAGTTACCCATGGATGAAGAATATTTATCAATATATACTAAGTTTAAATCATAATATGAAGGTTATTAATAGGTTAGTCAATATCTACTGACAACAATACAAATATACCTCAATTGAATTTCCAAGGATAATTATTAGTCCAATATAACGATATTTTGATCGTAAAAAAATGTAGGCCTGGTGTACTCTTAGCAACAATCCTGTTCTTGAAAATTAAAAGGAAAATAAAAAGTTCCTTAAATATTTGCTTAAGAAAATGCTAGGGCTCATTTACTGCATTTTGTATATCTTTTGGGAATTAAATTCCAGAGTCCTATTCTCCTGCAGTTCATTAAAATGTTCAGCGGAAATCTAACCTTCAGTCAACTCAAGGTCGTTATAATCATTTTCGAGTCATGTTTATAAATAAGATATTTATGTTTCGAGCTATGACTGATGATAAACGTAAAAATGCAGAAGCTACAAGATCCCTTTATAAACAGTATTTTTATGGTTTATCTACAGAGGGTACTTCCGTTTCTTGCAATTTTCCGCAATCGGAAGTAATTTACTGTAACGCAGAAATAATGATAAAAATATAAAATACCTTTAAGTGTCATGTTCTTTTTTTCCTTTGTTTTTAAAACCGAGATAAAGAACACTGAGTTGATAAACTTCTTAATATTTAAAATAGATAAACTCATGTTGGGGTGGATTATCTGAAACGCCTGCTTCATTTTGAGTACAGGTTGACTAAAAACAGACGATAAAGCTTTAATTTTAAAACCACACTGCTTTACGTTCAATTCAGCATCAAAGATAATGTGATAAGGAAAAGCTGAACAGAACTGTTCCGAGCTGAGCTGAAAGTTTGCTGGTGTTGAGCTCTTGAAAGGACACATTTGAATTGGATCTACAGGACAAGCCGTTACCGTTTCGGCACCAATTGGTGACAATCTTTCGATGGTAATGTCTTCGTCAGTCTTACATCCATCTTCCAGCTTAACCTGTTGGCAGAAACAATAGATACAACTATCAAAGAAACTTATCAGAAAAAATGACTGCATGGGCTACCTTGGTTTTATTTATATGCGTAATATAATATTACAGCAAGTAAGGGGGTCACCGTGCCGATTCTTGGACTTGGAATGTACAACTCATGGACGCAAGACAATCCTTCGGCAACTTTTTGTTTATCCGGGCTTCAACCCAAAGAACCAAAGCTATGGCTGTTAAAGTGGGAGGAAATGTAAAATACCTGAAACACTGTATGTTCTTGTTTTTTACCACCAATTTCTTCTGTAGATTGTTCTAGTACCGTTATCTCTGCAGTTTGTTTAAATATATCTCTTCCTACAGCTTGTACTAACCCTAAAGATAAATACAATATAACAGACAGTCATAGAATGAAGTAAGGCAGTGGCGTAGAGAGGATTTCATTGACGTTTAATCTAGGAAGGCCGAGAATAGGGCTACATCTAACACAATGTTGGAGGTGAAAGTAGCACAAATTTTTCATTTTTAGTACCCGAGTGAGTTGGAGGCATAGCACCTAATACGCAAATGCCAGGTGTTCATAAAACCTGTTAGGGCCTGTGAATCAATTGAATGAAGAGTGGAAACGTCGTGCCGATGGAAATTTAAAACAATTTCTTTTTTTTTAACATTCGAGGGATTCTGAGCGAGCACAGTCTGTACGAGGGAAGTCTCGTATATGGTTCTATCAATCAAGAATGGACGCTTTTACCATGTCAGCTCTACCAATCTGTATCGTCACCAGAGAGAACCGAGTTGAACCAGGAACATAAAAAGGAGATTTTCATAGAATTCTTAATACTGAACACATAGACAAACAAATCGATTATATAAGAAATATATATAGTTCATAATGGCAATTCTGACATATCGATATCGATATTTTCAAAGGAAATAATCAATCACAGAAAATGAACATCGATCTCAGTAGCAATTATTTATAATATTGAATGTTTATTCTCTTATTTATCAATTTTGAATGTTTACATTCTTTTAATTTTACCCTCGGATCTATTAATTTGTTGACAGACTGATATCGAATATAGGAAAATATTTACTTTTTCTTAGAATGCAATCAGTTTATCATCGATATTTCTACCTAGTCATGGGCAATAACTCAGAAACTGCTGTCTTTAGCTGTTGCTGATTAATGCATCTATAATAAACCTTAATACACAATGTTGGTGTATTGAATAGGATATATATTTTACATACCAATGACGATGGGATATAAGCCGGGTCTGACAGTATAATAATGCAATAGCAATTCCTTATTCGGGCCAGTTTCACATCTGAAATAGAAGTGGTTCAACAAAATTTGATGTTATTTTGTATAATAATTTTGATTCTTACGAGTTAACAAAACATCGGTTAAGGCTTTTGAACCGAATTATTTGTGATTGCGGTAGAAAAATATATATATATATATATATATATATTAGGTTTAGAGAAATATTTCAAATGACTCTTTTCTACCTCCAGATATATAATTAATGTATTATTATGCCAATACACGTGATGTATTATAGATGTCATGCTCGATTTTCTGGGGGAACATAATACGGACCACGTTAAAGATGAGATTTATTTGTAATCATTAATATTCCAGATTGATGTTAAATATGGGGAAAATCTATTGAGATATAGGTCAATGTGTCTGGTACGGCACTAAAATGGAATTCTGTCTACCTGAAAGATGGTGGTGTTATATTCTTATAACTTAATGCTAGTAAAGAATGAAGTGAATCCAGATTCTGAATAAAGTTCCACATGTCGCTTCCCAAAGTTCGTAACATTTTATCATAGCCGTGTCTTAAACAATAGGTTAAAAAATAATCACCAAATACTTCTAAAACTGTCGTTAGGGGCAAGTCTATAAAGGAATACAAAAACAATTTCATACATTATACAAATGGGTATTTGTTGACTTTTTAAATTGCGAGGTACCTGTCATAGGCGATTGGTTCTCATGGGTTTGGTGAATTCACTTATAACGGAATAGACTAAGGCGATGTTGAGATAGAAAGATGTTTAGGTCCTCTTATCATTCATTAGAACGTTATTCCAGCTCTCCAGATCACCTTTCAGAATGACAATTATATTTCAGGTTTGCTTGAAGTTAGAATATAAAATATGCGTGAAATATAAAAACAAACCAAAACTCTGCTTTGTAACTTAAGATAAATATTGTGGAATAAATAAATTGATGTTATAGAGGATAAGTGACACAGATAGTTGAAGTTAGTTGCCAGGCGATGAAGAGACTAGTTAAAACGAATGCTGTACATGTATATTACTTTTAATTGATGATCTTTGAAATGAAATGAAATGAATGGAGTTTTACGTCTTACTTTTCTGCACCATGTGAACTAATGTAGGCAACGCCATGTAGGTGCGATGAGGGAAATTTTGCCAGGACAGCAGCTTTAGCCTGCTCTTTTCCGATTTCCAACTGTCGAGGGATCTTTAACGTGCACAGCCTGTAGCACACGGGACCTCGGTTTATTGTCCCATCCGAACGACTAGATGCTTTTTCCATGTCAGCCCATCTTACCTGCATCACTGACAGGGGGAACTGATTGAAGTATTGAAAAAACTTACCAAGACATTTGGCAACAGCACCGACAAGTTGGAAGGTGTCATCATCTGTATATTGGTTAAAAACCAGAAAATGATCATCTTCATTCAGTCCAGACTCTGCCCTGTCCAATAAAAAAACAAGTCATGTAATTAAAAACAATACGATGGCTCACATACGACATATTTCACTTTCAATTTTGAATTAAAAACATTATCACCTAGGTGAAAATTAATATTGAATTAAAAACTTTAATTTTCATAATTCTTGTAATTTTGAATTAAAAAATTTAATTTTTCTCCTTGGTGAAAATTAAGTGATAATTCGTGTAATTTTTAATTGAAAAAAATTTCCACCTTGATGATAACTCAACGAATCTTGTTAAGAACGGCGAAAAAAATTCAAAATTCTTGAATTATCACCTTGGTGAAAATAATTATCACCTAGGTGAAAATTAAAGTTTTTAATTCAAAATTACAGGAGATATCACCTGTGAAAATTAAAGTTTTTAATTCACAAGTAGAAAATGTCGTTTGTGCGCCACCTTAGATCAGGAAAACGACAATTTTCAGTCCGAGCCGATAAATCAGAATTCAGAAATTCATTAAATCTAATTCAGATGATACTTACAAGATTGTCTCCCACGTTTCTTGTCCAAATTTAACTGTAACCAATTCTCTGACCACACAGTGTATTTGACCATACTGACATATAAATAACAAATGTCATTCAGTATTGCTTCAACACCTGTACTTGCATTTACTTTTAGTTTTCCTTTCTTTGTTATTCTTAGTCCAAGGGATTGTGAATCAAGTAGGTGTTTCACGGACTGTGAGTCGAGTCGGTGATGTAATGGACTGTGGATCAAGTAAGGGGCTGTGAAATAAGTAACTGTTGTAAGGGACTGTGAATCATGTGGTTGTTGTATGAGACTCTGATTTCAGTAGGTGGTGTAAGGGACTGTGAAATAGGTAACTGTTGTAAGGGACTGTGAATCATGTGGTTGTTGTATGAGACTCTGATTTCAGTAGGTGGTGTAAGGGACTGTGAAATAAGTAGCTGCTGTAAGGGACTGTGAATCATGTGGTTGTTGTATGAGACTGTGATTTCAGTAGGTGGTGTAAGGGACTGTGAAATAAGTAGCTGTTGTAAGGGACTGTGAATCATGTGGTTGTTGTATGAGACTCTGATTTCAGTAGGTGGTGTAAGGGACTGTGAAATAGGTAACTGTTGTAAGGGACTGTGAATCATGTGGTTGTTGTATGAGACTGTGATTTCAGTAGGTGGTGTAAGGGATTGTGAAATAAGTAACTGTTGTAAGGGACTGCGAATCATGTTGTTATTGTAAGAGACTGTGATTTCAGTAGGTGGTGTAAGGGACTGGGAATTAAGTAAATCTTAACAAAATAGGTGTTATAAGCGGTTGTGAATTAAGTAAGTGGATGAAAGTTTGTAAAGATTATCGAACAACACAAGACAAATGAGTTGACTGTGTTTTCCGTTAAAATCTCAAACTGAAATTTATCATCCATATAAAAACCAATCAAGCAGATACCTACAACGGACGCAGAATAGTGGATAGATTATCTGAACAGATGTAGAATAGGGGATAGATTATCTTGACGGATGTAGAACGGAAATAGAAAGAAGGGTAGGGAATTTAAAATAAAGGGTAGAGGATATAGAATGTAAGGTTAAGGATGTACAAAGGAAGGTCAAAGATGTGGAATTAGGGTAAAGAATGTAGAATGTAAGGTAAAGAATGTAGAATGTAAGGTAAATAATGTAGAATGTAAGGTAAAGAATGTAAAATGTAAGGTAAAGGATGTAGAATGTATGGTATAGGATGTTGAATTTAATGTTAAGGACGTAACGTGTAAGGTAAAGAATGTAGAATGTGGAATGTAAGGTAAAGAATGTAGAATGTGGAATGTAAGAATGTGGAATGTAAGGTAAAGAATGTAGAATGTGGAATGTAAGGTAAAGAATGTAGAACGTAAGGAAAAGAATGTAGAATGTAAGGTAAAGGATGTTGAATTTAATGTTAAGGACGTAACGCGTAAGAAAAAAGAATATAGAATGTGGAATGTAAGGTAAAGAATGTAGAATGTAGAATGTAAGGTAAAGAATGTAGAATGTGGAATGTAAAGTAAAGAATGTAGAATGTAAGGTAAAGAATGTAGAGTGTAGAATGTAAGGTAAAGAATGTAGAATGTAGAATGTAAGGTAAAGAATGTAGAATGTAGAATGTAAGGTAAAGAATGTAGAATGTAGAATGTGGAATGTAAGGTAAAGAATGTAGAATGTAGAATGTAGAATGTAAAGTAAAGAATGTAGAGTGTAGAATGTAAGGTAAAGAATGTAGAATGTAGAATGTAAGGTAAAGAATGTAGAATGTAGAATGTAAGGTAAAGGATGTAGAATGTAGAATGTGGAATGTAAGGTAAAGAATGTAGAATGTAGAATGTGGAATGTAAAGTAAAGAATGTAGAATGTAGAATGTAAGGTAAAGAATGTAGAATGTGGAATGTAAGGTAAAGAATGTAGAATGTAGAATGTGGAATGTAAGGTAAAGAATGTAGAATGTGGAATGTAAGGTAAAGAATGTAGAATGTAGAATGTGGAATGTAAGGTAAAGAATGTAGAATGTGGAATGTAAGGTAAAGAATATAGAATGTAGAATGTAGAATGTAAGGTAAAGAATGTAGAATGTAGAATGTAAGGTAAAGAATGTAGAATGTAGAATGTAAGGTAAAGAATGTAGAATGTGGAATGTAAGGTAAAGAATGTAGAATGTAAGGTAAAGAATGTGAAATGTAAGGTAAAGAATGTAGAATGTAGAATGTAGAATGTAAGGTAAAGAATGTAGAATGTAAGGTAAAGAATGTAGAATGTAGAATGTAGAATGTGGAATGTAAGGTAAAGAATGTAGAGTGTAGAATGTAAGGTAAAGAATGTAGAATGTGGAATGTAAGGTAAAGAATGTAGAATGTAGAATGTAAG